TTTCCAACAGTGGCCACCCGGTGGAGGAGTGGTTAGTTCTATCGCCGTACATCAAGAAAATCACTGTTTGGATCTATGTCTGTTTTAACAAGTACTTCTTCTTCGTCCTACAGTTTAAAAACATGCGGATCGTGGATTAGCTTCCTCACCCAAAGACTGCTGGGATTGGCTTCAGCTCCTCCTCCAACCCTGAACAAGATTAAACGGTGGAGCAGAAGTCTTACCGCAGACTGTAGTGAAACAATCACAGACAGAAGTACACGATCGTGTGTAGTATCACAAATGTTTACTATTGAACACAAAAGTCACAATAAAGGTTTAAGAATAATCCGACTTTAATATCAAACTGATATTAAACTTCACGGCCGCGACAGGAGAAAATGAATTGTTTTGTTTTGTTTTTGTAATAAATCCATTTCATTCTGCAATGCTCGGCGGCACCGGTTGGCGTCGCCAGCGGCACCGAGATCTCGGTCAGGCTACGAGACATGTGGCTGACTTTGACTTTACTCCGATTTGAGTCCAAAACGTTTCTCGCACAGTGAGCCGTCCGCAGCCTCACAGCCAACTAGTGGAAAGTCGAAAACACCGCTAAAAAGTGCAGGCCCGCCGCAGTTGCACTGAAAGGTGAGTGACGCCATTTGCTGCTAAAGCAACGGAGCTAACGGCCAACCAGCTAAAAGCGGCGCAGACAGGTGCTGTTGTTCAGGGCTGTTAGCTATCAGCTAAACTCGATGCTATCCACTCCGCTTTTGGTGACCTTCGTGGTTAATATTGGACAACATTTAGTCGTGTTTGTTGTGGCCAACATTTCAGTTAGCTAACGCTAGTGTGCTGGTGTTTATTTCAGTCGATAGATGTGGCCCGGCAACACCGACCGTGTTGTTGCCGTCGTGTTGGCACTTCTTGGCCAAGTTGCTGGTGTTTTTTGTCAGGCCGTGTTTGTTCAAACCATCGACCAACGTCCGGCCAACACTTTAACCACAGTCTAAAGTCGATAAAACCACGTACGCTGCAGCGTTGTCGGGAATACGAGGATTATCGGTTAGCCGGTAGCTTTCGAAGGCTAGTTGAATACGGACTGATCTGGAGCCTGTGTTTACATCGTTTATTAGCAGTGTTTTGGAACGCGACCCGCTCGTTTCCCGTTCCTTCAGCGATGGTTGGTCTGGGCTGGTTTATCTGGGACCCGGCGTGGGTTCACTGTGAGTTCCCTTCAGGTTTGTTGTGATTTTATTGAGAATGAATTGGCGGTCCCTGTAGATCAGCGGCTGCGCTGGACTCCTACTGGGCTCCTGCAGAGGCCTGATGGCGTGTAGGGCTAATGTTACTGCACAGTGACAAACAAGGAGAAGGACAACTCTGAGTCAACCAGACGAAGACTGTTCTTCACAGTGGATCATCAGACTCCACGTTCACCTTGTTGTGAAGTGAACCGCCCTCATGTCCTTTTTCACCACACCCTTTATTGTTCTCTGGGATCTTCTGCTTCTCCTCTGGTCTGGCAGCTTCATCCCTGACACCGCTGGTCCACGGGAGCTGTGGACCAGCGGTGTCCACAGGAGCAGATCAGATGTAAACACAGACACAGGACGTCTGGTCAAATCCCCACCAATGGAAACTGTGACTTGTTTATTGAACAACAACAGAATCGTCACTGACGATGAGGTTTAATGTTTAAACAAATACATTTATGATGTCATATAACCTGTGTGTCTGTGTCTCCTCCTGCTCCTCCTCTCTCTCCTCTCACTGGTCTCTGCCACTGGTCCAGTTGGACTTTGGTTCTGTTTCTAAGAAAATAAACAAGTGAACTGAAAACCTTGTTTATATTTGAACTGAACTTGGTGAATGCTTAGTACCATTAGTACTATTATTACTCCTAGTACTGTTAGTGCCGTTAGTACCGTTAGTACTGTTAGTACCGTTAGTACCATTAGTACCATTATTACTCCTAGTACTGTTAGTGCCGTTAGTACCATTAGTGCCGTTAGTACTGTTAGTACTATTAGTACCATTAGTACTATTATTACTCCTAGTACTGTTAGTGCCGTTAGTACCATTAGTGCCGTTAGTACTGTTAGTACTGTTAGTACCGTTAGTACCATTAGTACCGTTAGTACTGTTAGTACTCCTAGTACATGCTCTACTACAGGTGGAAGTGTTTTTAACTTGATTAGTTTGGACATTTATATTTTGTCGTGTGGAAATGTTTTTGACCGTTTTTTTCCGACATTGATTTTTCTGAAGTTCTGTGGTCTTCTCCTCTTCACCAGGACGGTCCAGGACCTCCATGACTGGAGCTGGAAGCGGTGAGTCACAGCCCGTGGTCCATATGTTCTGGATCAGGGGTCGCGAACCATAGGTTCTACACCAAACAAACCCTGACTGACTGTTGTTTTTCAGGCGGCCAGGGCCCGGCTGATGGGATGGATCCAGAGGAGGGGGACAAATGTCCCATCTGTCTGGGGACGGTGTCACACGGAGACCTGGCCATGCCTGACAGCTGCTGCCACGTCTTCTGCCTCAGATGCCTCCTCACGTGGGCAGAGGTAGTTGTTACAGCCCCTGACGGTCTGACGGTGTATGCAGTAAACACAAGTATTACTGCATACAGTACATGCAGTATCTGTCCTGACGTTGAAGATAAATCAGTGTTGTTGCTGTGTTGACGTTGTCATCATGTCTGACGGTCGTACTGACGGTCGTACTGACGGTCGTACCGACGGTCTTACCGACGGTTTTACTGACTGTCGTACTGACGGTCGTACCGACGGTCTTACTGACGGTCGTACTGACGGTCTTACCGACGGTCGTACCGACTGTCGCACTGACGGTTGTACTGACGGTTGTACTTTATTGTGAAGGTTCAGACGACTCCTTCCTGTCCCGTGGACAGACGACCTTTCACCCATGTGTACAGATGGGACGGGGAGTTCAGCTGCGTCCAGGTCTGTTTGGACACACACACACACAGGTTTATGTTGATAGTTCGCTCTAAACCGACCGTTGTTGTGTGTGTGAACGGTTGTTTGTCCCCGTGGACTCAGTGACAGACGTTCTGTCCTTGTTGTTTCAGGTTCCTGTTAGAGAACACCCTCCATCTGAAGGAGAACCTTCCTGCTGTAGAACCTCTGAAGAAGAAGTCGGTCTGAAGTGAGTGGTCACTGTAACAAGACTGGTTAGTCTGACTGACTGACTGACTGTCTGACTGACTGTCTGTCTGACTGTCTGACTGACTGACTGTCTGACTGACTGTTTTTAAATGATACTGTTTGACTACATTATCAATATTTTCTTTTTCAGATCCAAACCAAACAGGAAGTTAAGATGTCAAAAGAAGAAGAGCACAGTGAACACTACAACAACTGAAGGAACTGTAAGAAAATGTAGGTTCAGATCTGTTCTCCTCTGCACTGACCTGAGCCAGGTCTCACCACTGACACCACTGACACCACTGACACCACTGACACTGTCCTTTCTGTTCCAGGTAACTCTGAGAACCCCCCAGCTGTCAGTCACCATCAGGTGAGTGGTTGGACTAGATGATGATGATGATGATGATGATGATGGGGGTGATGAAGATGATGGTGATGATGATGATGATGAAGATGATGATGGAGTGATGATGACGATGGTGGTGATGATGAAGATGATGATGATGATGATGAAGATGATGATGGAGTGATGATGACGATGGTGGTGATGATGAAGATGATGATGATGATGATGAAGATGATGATGGAGTGATGATGACGATGGTGGTGATGATGAAGATGATGATGGAGTGATGATGACGATGGTGGTGATGATGAAGATGATGATGGAGTGATGATGACGATGGTGGTGATGATGAAGATGATGATGGAGTGATGATGACGATGGTGGTGATGATGAAGATGATGATGATGATGATGAAGATGATGATGGAGTGATGATGACGATGGTGGTGATGATGAAGATGATGGAGTGATGATGATGATGTTGATGGTTTGATGTCCGTCCTACAGGTCCAAGGGTCAGAGTGCTGCTGCACCTGGTCACCGTCTCTGTACACTGTTGTCACCGCTACACCACAGGAAACGTAAGTCACCGTGTCAATATTCCTGGTGTTGGTTCATGTTCTTCTTCTTTTCTTTCTTCTCTGGTGATTCCAGATGTAGATCCTCTGTTCCAGAGTTAGGAACTGATGTTCACATGGAACAGAGTCTGAGACTAGGATCACACTGGGGGGGGGCAGAGTCTGAGACTAGGATCACACTGGGGGGGGGCAGAGTCTGAGACTAGGATCACACTGGGGGGGGGCAGAGTCTGAGACTAGGATCACACTGGGGGGGAGCAGAGTCTGAGACGTCAGTGTATCATCGTGACTGTAGTATCGCAGTACATCGTAGTACATCGCAGTACATCGTAGTACATCATAGTACATCATAGTACATCGCAGTACATCGCAGTACATCATATCGTTGTATGGTATCACTTGATTCTTGCCAATATACAGCTCTAGTGATGCGTTCAAGGCAGCACAGCTAACATGTTCAACCAGTGAGCAGACAGATAGATGTGCTGGTAGCACCACCTGGTGGTCAGAGGTGTTAGAGCTGACTGTTGGTACAGTCCCAGTAAAGATCTGACCCCCCCCCCCCCTCCTCTCACAGTTCTGATCCTGCCTGGATGACAGAGACCAGACTGGACCACTCTGGGTCCTCACCCTGTAAGCCCCTGGTGGACACCTGTCCGTGGCTGTCCCCCGTCGCCGCCGTCCCTGTCAACGGTGCCTCCAGGTAAAGAAACCTGACCTGATGGTCCCCTCCTAGACTAGATGTAGACCATGTATGAGAAGTGGACTGAGGACAGAGTGGTCTCTGCTCCAGGATGTGGTCCATGTGGGCTACAACTGCTTCCTTTTCAAAATAAAAGTCTGTGGAGAAAAGGTCACAGAAGAGGGGGGGGGTGTGAGGGGGTCTATATACACCTGTACACACACATCACAAGGGGTGAGGGTAGGGAAGTTGTCAATTACTGCCACCTTGTGGTAGATTCCTGTACTGTGTCAGTGGACTTATTGTACTGTACCTTTAATCAGGTGTTGTGATCGTTCTCCGTCCTGTTCTGTCTTGTGGTTCTAGGCAGAGGTTCTCTGGTTGGACCGGCGGCTCCTCCTCCTCCTCCTTCTTCTCTGGACTCAGCGTCAGCTCCATCTTTGGACCTGGACCTTCATGTGAGTTCCTTTTCTGTTGATTCATTAACACCAGCTCTGAGTGACTGTCGTCCCTGACCCTCACCCTGAACTCTCCCCCCTCTCCCCCAGTATTGGTGGGCGTCTCCTTTGCCATCACGTGTCCAAAGGGAGGTGAGAAGAGGGGGGGTAAGACCTTCACCTCCAAAACCTCCACCAAAGAGGCGGGTTCTCTGCCCCCCAGGCGCTACGGACGCAACAGCAAACCCCAAGACCAGGCCCAGACCTCCGAGGCCTCCTCCACCCCCCCGCCGTCTTCTTCAGACTCCGACTCCTCCAGCGCTCAGTCTGCCAAGGTGAGCGGAGCTGCTGCGGCCCCCACCAGCAGGAAAACCAAACTGATCACCAACCGCAAGGCCAGTGGGAAGAGGAAAGGTCAGAGGAGGAAGAAGAGCTCGTCAGAGGAGGAGGAGGAGGAGGAGGAAGAGGGAACAGGAGGCCACGAGCTGAAGGAGCAGGATGTGAGACTGTCTGATGATGAAGACCAGGACCAGGACCTGACTGAGGACCTCACTGACGTTTGTGAGGTGATGTGAGACTGTCTGATGATGAAGACCTGACTGAGGACCAGGACCAGGACCTGACTGAAGACCTCACTGACGTTTGTGAGGAAACAGGAGAAGAAAAGGAGGAAGAAGGAGACGGAGGGACAGAGGAGGAGGAGGAGGAGGAGAGCACTTACTCTCCCTCAGATATGGCTGCTGCTGCTGAGGAGGAGGAGGAGGAGGAGCAGCCAACCAGCACCTCCTCACACGAAGACAAGAACTCAGAGAACGTGGAACAGTTGGTTTCACCGACCGACGGCCAGAACGGGTTGACAGACGACCTGACGTCTCCGTCCTGTGATGAACAGACGGACCAGGACAACATCGGTACCGAGCTGACTGAAGACCACCGCAGGGACTCACTGGACCAAGGACCGGCTCTGTCCCACCAGAACCCGGTCCAGTCTGGTCCCACCTCGCCTGAGGAGTTAGAGGAAGAGAAGAAGTCAGAGGAGGCCTCAGCTGCTGAAGGTTCTGAAGAACCGATGGTGGAGGACACGGTCGGTTCTGAAGAACATTCTGAACCGACGGTGGAGGACCCGTCCTCCAAGGACGACACCAATGAGGTCCCCATGGACTGTAGTTCACCCATCAGTGAGCACGGACACGCTGACATTTTAGAACAACCGCAGCAGAACCTGGACCCTGGTTCTGATCCACCTCCTGCAGAGAAACCGGACATCAAGGATGAAAGCCACCAGAACCAGAATCAGGATCAGGTCCAGGACCAGAATCAGAACCAGGACCAGGTCCAGGTCCAGGACCAGGACAAGAGCGAAAAGAACCAAGAAAGAAACGTCAGGCAGCGACGCTCGCGGTTCCACTCTGCGTGCTCCACCTGGTCACCAAAGAGGGAGACCAGGAGAGAGCCATCCAGGCGGTCCAGGTCCCACTCCAGGTCCAGGTCCAGGTCCCGGTCCAGAGAGCGAGACGACAGCCCGACCTCCAACCACTCTCAGACTCGCAGCAGAGGAGGAGACAAAGATCGGGACCGGGATGGTGAGAGGAACTATTCTAAAAGGGAGCGCAGTCGTGACAGGAGGAAATATCGATCTAGAAGTCGGTCCAGATCCTCGTCCAGGTCCAGATCTCGATCCAGAACAAGGTCCCGATCCAGAACAAGGTCTTACAGACGGGCTCCCAGCTCTGAGCGCTCAGTGTCCAGAACCCAGTCACCTCAACGGAAGGAGCGCAGAGGTGGGTGGAGGGCGGGATCCGGCGGTGGTGAAGGACGAAGATACCAAGGAGGCGGCGGCCATTTTGAAAACGGAGCACCCACGGAAAGATCCCCAGACCGCCAGGCTCGGTCCAGTACCCCGGAGTGGGTCACGGAAAAGACTGAGGGCAGGGACCGGAACCGGGACTTTAGCTTCGCCGGTGGGTCGCACTGGGACGACCACCGCGGCAGGAGCGGGAACAAGGTCCGGGGGGGGTTCGACCGTGACCGGGGGTCGGGGCACGGCGGCGGCAGTCGGAACTTCTACAACCATCAGGAGGAGTCGTCCGACGGCCGCTGGCAACCCAGGAACAACTTCTCAGGTACAGGCGCCGGTTCAGGGAACGACAGCTACGGTCGCAGCGGAGCCCGGAGGAAAGAGGCGGAGTCGGGCGATTCCATGGTGGACCGCTCCGGGTGGTCGTCAGCGTCCAGCTGGGCCGTCAGGAGGACGCTGCCGGCCGACGTTCAGGACTATTACTCCAAGAAGGAGAGAGGTGGACCTGGGAGCTGGAACCGATTGGAGGAGGAACAACCAGCAGCAGTAGCAGGTAACAGTTCTACTTCCTCTGGAACCAGAACCATTTGAGTTAGTTTTAAGTTTGATGTACTTCACTCCTCTGTGGTAATACTGAAGTATTCATGAAATACTGAAGTATTCTGAAAACCGTGTTCCTCTGTCAGAGGAGAACCGTTCTAGATCTTTGTTCCAAATCTTCTTCTTGTGGTCTGTAGTCCTACAGAGACCACATGGTAAAGTCGAATAATTAATATAAGGCTAAATCGGCTCTGTCGCCATCTAGTGGCACCAATTGAAAATGCAAATAAAAACCAAAACTGAAGTCAGTCAAACGGACAGTTTTGACTCTTAGCACCAAGTACAGTATGGTAGTAGTACTCTGAGCAGCAGGTGGGGTACTAGTAGTGGTGGTAGTACTGTTAGTAGTAGTAGTGGTACTAGTAGTACTTGGTGGTAGTACTGTTAGTAGTAGTAGTAGTAGTGGTACCAGTAGTGTTAGTAGAAATGTCATGAAGATCAAACTGACCTTTTTTACCCCTCCTCCTCGCCCCCGCCCCCCCCGCTCCTCCTCATCCTCCTCTTCATCCACAGAGCCCCCTAAGAGTGAGCCCCCTCCTCAGGCGGTCACAGGTAACGCTCTGGTGCCTGTGGTGAACTTGCTGCCCCCTCCCCCCCCCCCTCCTCAGCTGAACGCCCCCTACCATCACTACCCCCTGCAGGGTCCCAGAGGAGCCCTCCCCGTCAGCCTGCAGCCCGCTGCTCCGTACCCCCTGCCTCCTCAGGTGCCTGTGCACCTCCACCCCGCTGTGCCACTGCTTCAGGTACCTGCAGGGGGCGCTCAGGGGCTCCCCCCTCCTCCCCCACCACCTCCTCCTATGCAGCAGGGCAGCCAGACTTCAGCAGCTCTGCCCGATGGTCACATGACCCAGGTACAGTCCAACATGTCACCTTCCTGCTGTACATACAGTCGTCTGTGTCTGTGTCTGTGTCTGTGAACAACTGACCCGTCTGTGACCTCAGACCAGAGTCCAGAACATTCTGTCAAATACTGTGGAACCACCTGAACTACACCTTGATGTTCTCTGATGTTCTCTGATGTTCTTTGATGTTCTCCTCAGATGTCCAGCACCATGGTGGGTTATGGGAAACCTGCCCTGCTTCCCACCCCCTCCAAAGGCGGGGGCGGGGCAGTGACCCAGGTCCAGCCAGCGGTCAGCCAGGTGGTGGCGTCGTCCACCACTCAGCCTGCTAACAACAAGGCTCAGGCCGACAGCTCCAAGAAGGAGAAGGTGAGTTCCTGCGGCAGAGCTGGGTTCCTTCGTTAGTCTCCGCCCCCTGTGTGACATCATCCATGTTCTGTAGAAACAACAGATCCAGGAGAAGGCGGTGAACGAGGTGAAGACGGCCATCAAACCATACTACCAGAAGAAGGAGATCACCAAGGACGAGTACAAGGAGATCGTCCGCAAGGCAGTGGAGAAGGTGAGCGCCCCCACTGACCAATCACAGGGCAGGCAGCCACACGCACACACACACACACACACACAGATTGTCCTGTTGTCACAGTTTTGATAAAAACCTCAATTACGTGAAATATTTTCTGGAAAAACCAAATCACAAAAGAATTCTGAACCAACGGAGTCACCACACCGCCCTCTGGTGGAGGGATACGTTGAAGTTATGTGATGAGGCCATGTGTTAACACTGAGACTTCTGTAATCTACAGTCAGGGTCTAAATGTATGTGGCCCCCTACTGGTCACTTTGGGCCACTGCAGGTCAAAGTTTACTGATGAATTACTACTAATGCATTTAAGTATTTATCAATATATTTTTATCTTTCTCAATTTTTGTTTGCCCCCCCCTCCCTCTACCTCCCCCTCCAGGTGTGTCACAGTAAGAGCGGTGAGGTGAACTCTGACAAAGTGGCTAACCTGGTCAAGGCCTACGTGGACAAATACAAACGCGCTCGCAAGAAGTGAGCACCTGCACTGCTGCTGGTGCAGCACTGCCCCCTAGCGACCGTTCAGCTGCTCAAGTGCAATTTTCTCAAGCTAGAATTCGGCCTCCAAACTGGAAGTGGACGGAGAGCCGACGTTGTCATTTTTGATATGTCCTCGTACTGAATGAAGATTTCTTTTCTATAGATTTTCATATTTTGTTAGAAAACAAAAAAAACCGACCCGTTCTGAAATTGTAACGCAAGAGCCCTTTATTTTGCATAGATCATGTGACTCTGGAACGACGATGCAGCGTAAAGGCTTTGGGACGAGAAGATGCTTCTGATGCAACGCTCGGTGACGAATATTAGCCAACAGTGGAGGAACTGACGGGTTCTCCAGCTGGTACCGATACGTCCTCAACATCAGTACCTGAATTCACAGCTGACAATTTTTCTTCTTCAAATATTATATATTATTTCAGAGAAAAAAAAACTAGTTTAAATAAAATGCTGTTTTACTAACAGAGACATGGGGGGGG